AATCCTATTAAGTAACCAATTAGGCTTCTTAGTACCCCTCAATTCTCTAGCGTTTTATTGGTGTATCTTCTGTCTTCTTTGGAATCTTTTTTCATAGTTCCTCATAGCTTCGGCTATAGATGATTACTTGAGGTCATGTCCTTCTTTTAGATCCCATAGGGCGTACAGGGGGAGGGCGCGATAGAGTGGTGTCAAGGAGACTAGACTTAGAGATTGTTCGTTAAATGTAGGCACATTAAATGCTAGGCTGCTGGAGCTGACCGACGTACTTAGTAATAAGAAAATAGATTTGGCATGTATTCAGGAGACTATGTAGAAAGGGGCTCGCGCCAGAGAGTGTAATGGGTACAAGTTGTGGTATTCAGGCGTATATAACGCTAGAAATGGGATGGGTATCTTGGTATCCTCTAGGCTCAAGAAAAATGTAGTTGAAGTTTGTAGATATCGGGATAGGATCATGATGATTAAGATTATTATAGAAGCAGAAGTGGTGAATGTCTTTTCAGTGTACGCCCAACACATTGGCCTAGGGGAGGGGGAGAAATGTTACTTATGGGATCAGTTAGATGATGTACTTAGGAACATTCCGGAGGACCAAAGAATTTTCATAGGGGGAGACTTCAATTTCCATATAGGTAGTGCAACCGACGGGTATGACGGTGTTCATGGGGGTTTTGGTTTTGGTAGTAGGAACGATGAGGGGCGTATGTTGCTTGAATTTGCTACTGCATACGATATGGTGGTCACTAACTCCTTCTTTAACAAGAGAGATGTGAACTTGATTACGTTCTATAGCGGGGGACATTTTACCCAAATCGACTACATCCTGGTTCGAAATCGGGATCGATGGGCTTGCATTGACTATAAGGTGTTCCCTGAAGAGGCATGTGCATCACAACACATATTATTGGTTTTGGTGTTCCGCGTTTGCAACGGGCGGAGCACTCATATGAGGGCTAAAATTGGTAAACCTAGGATTCTTTGGAAGAACTTACATGGAGCGACAGCTGATGACTTTAGGAGTAAGGTTTTGTCTAATACATGTTTTGGAACTACAAACTCAAATAATGCAGATATGTTATGGAAAAATATGGCAAATTCCATCAGAGAGGTGGGAAAAAACACTCTTGGGTTGTCGACAGGGAAGGTCAAGGAACATAAAGAATCGTGGTGGTGGAACGACGAAGTCCAAACTAAGGTGAAGACAAAACAAACTTGCTTCAAGGAGTTTCTACAATGCAATGATGACGAAGAAAGATCAAGAGCTAAACAAAGATACAAGGAGGCAAAGCGGGAAGCCAAGAAAACAGTGTCTAAAGCAAAGGATAAGGCATACGAGGAAATGTACAAGAGATTAGACACCAAGGAAGGACAAAACGGCATATTCAGGCTTGCAAAATCCAGGGAAAATAGGAAAAATGATCTAGGTAGCATTAGGTTTATTAAGGACAACCATGGTGTTCTTTTAGTGAAAGATCATGATATTAAGAGGGTTTGGGGTAGTTACTTTTTTGGCTTATTTAATGATGGTGTCTCTCCCTGTAGAGACATTACCGTTGATGGGTCAATCGACCATCATACAACGGCCAATGAATGCCCTACAAGTAGGATTGAGTTTGAGGAAGTCAAAATGACTCTTAGAAAGATGGGGAGGGACAAAGCTGTCGGCACAGATCAAATTCCTATCTCTGTGTGGTTGGCCCTTGGAGAAGAGGGAGTTAAGTGGTTGACTAACATCTTTAATATTATTTTAGAGACTGCCAAGATGCCAGACGAGTAGAGAGAGTCTACGGTGATACCAATCTTTAAGAATAAAGGAGATCCTCAACGTTGTGGCAACTACAGAGGTATTAAACTACTCAGTCATACCATGAAGCTATAGGAAAGGGTGATAGAGGCTAGGTTGAGACAAGTTACTAGGGTTTCAAAAAACCAATTTGGCTTTATGCCAGACAGGTCTACTACGGAGGCGATTCATCTACTTCGACGTCTTATGGAGAAATATAGGGAAAAAATAGAGATCTTCACATGGCGTTCATCGACCTTGAGAAGGCGTATGATGGTGTTCCTCGCGATACGATCTGAAAGACCTTGGAAACGAGTCAGATCCCAACTGCTTATATCCGGGTGATTCGTGATATGTATCGTAGATCAACTACATACGTCAGGACTACAGTTGGTCACACCGAGGCATTCCCGGTGGAAATCAAACTCCACCAGGGGTCGGCTCTTAGCCCTTACATCTTCGCCTTGATTATGGATGACATCTATTGTGCGACACCAGACGGTGTTCCATGGTGTATGCTTTTCGCTGACGACATTGTCCTAGTTGCTGAAACAAAAACTGAGATGAATAGTAGACTGACTACCTGGAAGACTGCTTTGGAAGAAAAAGGTCTAAGGATCAATATTGAAAAAACATAGTATTTATGTTCAAACTTCAGTGGGAACCAAAACGATAAATATGTAGAAGTATGGATAGAAGAACACGTTCTCCCCACAAAGGATTGTTTCAAGTACCTAGGGTCTATGATACATAAAGATGGGGGTATAGATGATGACGTTACACACCGTATAAAGGCAGGATGGCTAAAGTGGAGGGCTGCTACTGGAGTTTTGTGTGACAAGAATGTGCCTCTAAAACTTAAGGGAAAATTTTATAGAATGGAAATAAGACCAGCGATGTTGTATGGATCAGAATGTTGGGCAATCAAGAAGGATCACGTAAGGAGGATGGAGGTCGCAGAAATGAGAATGCTTCGATGGACATGTGGTAGGACTTTGTGGGACATGACACCAAATTCTTCTATTAGGATGTCCTTGGGGGTGGTGTTTGTATCCGAAAAATTGAGGGAGGGAAGACTACGTTGGTTTGGGCATGTCCTTAGGCGACAACCGTTTGATGCGGTCAGAAGGGTAGAGACGATTATAGTCGACGGTGCCAGAAGGAGATGAAGACCAAGGCAGAAGTGGGAAGACTGCTTGCGATCTGATTTGAAGGATTTAGCCCTTACCGAGGACATGACCTCTGATAGGAAAGTATGGAGACTTAAGACCAGGGTAGCCGAATAGTGCGGGTCACAGCCGTAGGATGTTACATCTCTGTCTTCTTTTTAATGCCTTTGTAGTTATTTCCATGGCTTCTAATTTTTATATGTTTTCGTCTGTGGAATCTATGATGTCTTAGAACTAGGGTATCGAAGTAGTATTGCTGCTATCATTGACTTTTATGTATCATTCTCTTCAGGTTTTCTCTTTTTAAATTTAGTCGGGTCTTACGTTTCTATCTATATGCAGAGATTTTTACGCAGGGATTTATTTGCAGGGATTACTTCTCATTACATACGCATATAAAGACTGCATATGTAGAATGTTCAACTATGTATTTATTTATTTATTTATACATGCATTGCATTTTATCTCTATCTTTAAGTTTCTGACTGCCGGAGGTCTTCCACGGAAGCTGCTCTCAACCTGGCGTTGGAGGCAGCCTACTAATCTACCTCCCCCTTACCTCATTACATATGGTAATATGGTTTTGTTGTTGTTGTTGTTGTAATTATTTAACGGAGGAATAATCAAAATAGGAGAGAGAGTAAAGTTCAACGATCAAAAAATCTAATGTATTAAGTTCAGTGAGAAAATTAAAAACTTTTAAATTCCAGTGAACAAAATAGAAGAGAGAATAAAGTTTAGTGTTGAAATTTATAATTTACCCTTTAATTAAAAAGTATTGATGTCGAAATACAGATGCGGTAGCATTTTCTTTTCTTTTCTTTGTTTATCTTATTAATTTGATTTTCCTTTTTAGGAGAGAGAATTAAATGCTTGTAACAAATAATAATTAATGACTAATAAGCTTTACCTAAAAGTTTACTCGATGTTCCAACCGACAAAAACACCCAAATTTATTGCTATCTTTATTATTTTGAAAATTAAATCAATTAGATTATATCAGACATAACACTCGCGGTAAGTAAACGCATACAAAGTTTAAATTTTATTCCATTCTAATTTTTTTTATTAATATAAGATAAATAAAAGATAATATATATGTAAAGGCTTCTGCCTCCCTTCTATTAAAAAAAGATAGTATCTACTATTAACGAGATCGGTGTAATTGACAAGCAGCTTAATACCTTTTAAACAATGTCTTACGTTTGAGTCTTTGTATATACAGAAATTCTCTGCTGAGAGACTCACCCACCAAAATTAGATGTGCGACGAAATCGGTCTAGATTAGTCAATGTGAAACCTTGGAATTGAAGGAGGAAAAAAAGAAAGATAATACCTATTTAAAGAAATTCAAACATTTAATATTAAACATTTATATATCTGATATTTTTGACGAGTAAATAAAAAAATTAAAAGAATAATAACAATTCTTTTATTATTAAAATAATTTGGTTTGTACTATTATATTCTAATTGAATGTAGAAAATATAAATTTAAAATTGGCTAAGTTTGTCTCTTTTTAAACTAAACTTTAGATTCTTTTATCATGATTTTAGTTCAACCCATGCAAAAATTATAATAACAGAATTGAGTATTATAATGATATAAAAATTAGATAATTGAATTTATCGAATGATAAAAAATAATACTTTTTTAACATTTTATTATTATATTTTTACTTTTAACGTTTTATTAATTTTTTTATATTCATAAAATTTTATTTAAAAATATCATTTTTTTATAATGGTACGCCCGCATGACGGCATAAATACTTTAGTTTGAATTTAAATTATTTTATTTTAAATTTATTAGATGATGAATTATATTGGTGAAGTTTATAATTTAAATAAAGATGTGTACAGGTACCATAAATGCCTCGTTCTATTTTCTTACAGTTCTATTTTCTTACAGAAGGTCAAATACATGATAAATAAAAAAAAGGAAATAAGGTAGCCAGCGCCTTTTCTTTATTTTCTTCCACAGTGTTTTTCTTTTCTTTTCTCTTGATCTGTGAATGTTCGAATCGACAACTTTAATTCTCTTTTTCTTTTCCTTTTCTTCGATCTGAATTTCATCAACTTTCTTAAAGTTCCAATTACTGGGTTTTTTTTAAAGCTTCAACAATTCAAATATACAAACTCTAAAGCCTCTAAAAGCTATCTGCCATGAAAATCCCTTCTTCCTTACGATCATTTAACCTCTGAAGAACCATTTGCAGTATTGCATCGAACCAATTCCAGTCGACCCTTTTTGTTCTACAGCAAGGAGAGAGAGAGAGAGAGAGAGAGAGAGAAAACAATGAAAACAACTCGACCAACTCGTTACATAATCAGTTTCTCCTTGTTGTTATGGGCAACTTTGTTGTTCCGTGTAGACTCAGATCTAACTTCTGATAGAGCAGCCATGGTGGCTCTTCGAGCAGCTGTCCGTGGACGCTTGCTGCTATGGAATATTTCGAGCAGTCCGTGTTCATGGACCGGTGTCAATTGCTCTTCAAACAGGGTGGTTGAGTTAAGGCTCCCTGGGATGGGACTTTCAGGTCAGCTTCCCACTGGTATAGGCAACTTAACTCAACTTCAAACATTTTCTCTTCGATTCAACGCTCTTTCTGGATCAATTCCACCCGATTTTTCCAAGCTTACTTCCCTTCGAAACCTTTACTTACAAGGGAATCGATTCTCCGGAGAGATTCCTGCTGTCTTGTTCTCTTTGCAGAACCTGATAAGGCTTAATCTTGCTGCCAATAATTTCAGTGGTACGATCCCTGCGAGTGTTAACAATTTGACTAGATTGGGCACTTTGTATTTGGAGAACAATCGTTTATCTGGTTCAATCCCAGATTTTAATCTGCCTTCACTTGTGCAATTCAATGTTTCTTTTAATCAGTTGAATGGTTCAATTCCAAGAAGCTTGTCAGGCAAGCCACAAAGTTCTTTTATAGGGAATTCTTTGTGTGGGAGGCCTCTGGTATCATGTAATGGTACTGAAAGTATTGGCCGTAAACTATCCGGTGGAGCGATTGCTGGTATCGTCATTGGTTGTTTGCTTGGTGTTCTACTGATTTTGATTATGTTAATATGTTTATGTAGAAGAAAGAGTGGAGATAAAAAGGAGGAAACTCGAGAAAGGAACGTTGCCTCTGCAAAACAGGCAGAGATTGAAGTTCCTGGAGATAAGACAACGGGAGAGAGTGATAGTAAAAGTAGTGGTTTATCTGGGGTAGTCAAGAAGGATGCTAAGAGTAGCGGGGCAAAGAAATTGGTGTTTTTCGGGAAGGCATCGAGGGTGTTTGATCTGGAGGATTTGTTGAGGGCATCTGCTGAGGTATTGGGGAAGGGAACATTCGGAACGACATACAAGGCCACCTTGGACATGGGGGTGGTGGTTGCAGTGAAGAGATTGAAGGACGTGACGGTTTCGGAGAAGGAATTCAAAGAGAAGATGGATGTAGTCGGCGCCATGGATCACCAGAATTTGGTCCCATTAAGGGCCTGCTACTTTAGTGCAGATGAGAAACTTCTAGTTTACGATTACATGCCTATGGGAAGCTTGTCTTCTCTTTTACATGGTGAATATTTCTTTTTCATTATGTTATTTTTTTTTCTTTTGTGATGGTGTTATCATTGCTGTTCTTCATTTTGATTGCTGGAAACTGAATCTTAGGAGGAGTTTATTTAGCAATCCTGCTCATTTGTTAATATCATAACATAATTGCTACAATAGACTTCTATGGGATTCATTGATTGGCATCGAGTTCTTTAGGATTTGGATAGTAATAAGTATGATAGATGAAGGACTAAAATTGGTCTCTCTACTAGTTATGTTTTATAATTTAACGAAAATATGATGCAAGTTCATGAATGTACCGTTTTGTTTATCATCATTTGCTGTGCGTTTAGCAGCTAAGAAAAAAACCCCAAATTTCTACGCTTTTCAAGTTTTTATTTTGTAACTTATTTTAATCTATTCTCTGGCATATTAATATTGTTCAGGTAACAGAGGAGCTGGTAGGACTCCCTTGAATTGGGATACAAGGTCCGGCATTGCCCTTGGAGCTGCCAGAGGCATTGCATACCTCCATTCCAAGGGCCCCGAAATCTCCCATGGAAACGTCAAATCTTCAAACATGCTACTCACAACATCTTACGAAGCTCGAGTATCTGATTTCGGTCTTGCTCAGCTTGCTGGCCCTACATCGACTCCCAACCGTGTCGATGGCTATCGTGCTCCAGAAGTAACAGATGCTCGCAAAGTTTCCCAAAAGGCCGATGTCTACAGCTTTGGTATATTGCTTCTGGAATTGCTTACCGGAAAGGCACCTACACATGCTTTATTGAATGAGGAAGGCATAGACCTCCCAAGATGGGTCCAATCCATAGTTCGAGAGGAGTGGACCGCCGAGGTGTTTGACCCCGAACTTCTCAGATACCAGAATGTTGAGGAGGATATGGTCCAGCTCTTACAGCTTGCCATTGATTGCACTGCCCAATACCCTGACAAGCGTCCTTCAATGGCCGAGGTGACAAACCGAATTGAGGAGCTCTGTCGCTCTAACTCGGAGAAAGAGACTCATTAAACCTGTGATGCATATGATGGATCTTCCCTGCAGGCTTCCTCAGCACGTACAGGTGCACCATCATCTTTCAGAAGCGACTGAAAAAAGAGAAAAACCCGACAGTCTATTATTTCTTTCATCCGGTTTGTTACGGATAGATTACTCATAGTTTGTCTATTCTTGGGTTCATTATCATTGAGAACAGTTGCATTTTCCCCACTTTTTCCTCATATTCATAGCAACACTATTCATATTTGCTTGTAATGTTCACTTGATTGTGTGAATTGTGAATTACTGTCTTTATCTTTTGGCTTGAATGAATGATTCTGTATTTTCGACATTGAATGTTGAGCATGAGCGGTGACGGATCGATCATAGACGACAGAGATAAGATTGTTTACAATTTGTTTGAATGCATGGTATTAAGTTGTTGGTATTTCTTCTTTCAAAAGAAATCTCTCTTCAAATATTTCATCCCTGCAAATGGAGGGAAAGGAAAAGAACCCAATCTCAATGGCTTTCCCTTTGTTTTTTGTTCTTTTCATTCAATCTCTATCACTTCTAATAAGATTCAGTTTGCTTTTGCTTTTGCTTGTGATGCAAGTTTGATTTGTTCAAACTGAGTTGTAAATAAGTTGCTTTACATTCTGCCTTTGCCTTTTGCTTTTGCTTCAAACTCAAGTGTTGAGTTTGGCTTAAAGCACTTTCACCTTATTTTAGTTGCAAAATTTGATTTGGTTCAATAACTTTTCAGGATTATTAAGCAATTTAAACACAATCCAATTTTATTACTGCATTTCTTCTCTTTTTCTTCTTAATTTTATTTAACTACACGTTTAGTACCCAACTATCACTTTTGTCTTGTTTTGGTCACCCAACTATTTTTTGTCTCGAAATCATACCTAATGTTACGTTTTGGTTTCATTTTGGCCATTCGTCGTTAAAAAATTAATAGAACTGTCGACATAGCATTTAAAAAAAATCAATGATGAAGTGACATTACCTTATGATGGTACGTCAACATCATTATTAGTTTTTAATACTCGATGACTAAAATGAAACTAAAACGTAACTTTGGGTATGATTTTGAAATAAAAAATAGTTGGCAAACCAAAATGGAAGAAAAATCCGTTTTTAATTATAGCTTAAAATCAAATTCGAGCATAAATAATTAACTTTGAAGAAGTAAAATTTATTTTTATTAGGTAAAGACATTTTGTTGAACAAATTCAAATAGTTTTATTTTTATCTGAAATCGATGACAAACTTTAAAAGATGTTTATTTTGGGAGTGCTAAGCATGTCTTTTGCAAGTGCTTGATATCTCATTTACAAGCTAATGGATTCTTTAAGTCCATTTTATTTATTATTATTAAATAATTAATATATTTTTTAATAAATATGTGTAATAGTATATTTTAAAATATTAAATTTAAATTAAAAGACTTTATCATGCATTCACTTCAATACCATCGTCCAATCTATTCTAATTCAATTTAATTAGATAAAAATTTAAAAGAGAAAAATTAACAAATTGAATGAACTCAAGGTTCAAACTAATAAAATAGATTAAATCATTACCTTTCTTAAAAAACTTAAATCAAAATATAAAATAATAAAAATATAAAATATTTAATTTACTATCTCTAAACGTGGAATAGATTTGCCATATAAGATAATGAATATCTCGACGTTATTATTATTTAATATGTATCATCACTTTTAATTTTTTTAATACATAATTTAGATACAATATCTATATTATACATATTTTATCTCATTTATAAATCGGAGTATATTAATTATTTAAGAATGTTCGATCTTATGTCTTGTGTGTATGATATTAATGACAATATTGATTGAGTTAAACTCAATCGACATTCGCTTCTAATTTTTCTTTTCTTTTTGATAAGATAGAATCAATTAGTTTTATTAAAATTAAAAAAATATTTAAATTACGATAAAAGTTTAAAATCATAACCGTAAAATAAATACATAATTATGACATTTTTCTATAATCCTTAATACAAAAAATTAGTCACTTAGGATCATATAAGGACTATATAAGAAAATTGTTAAAAAATTAATACGCTCGAATAAAAGGCAAATACGAACATATATGACCAAATCGGTAAATGAACCACATAAGAAGATTAAACTATTGATGGATCATTGGCATACTGCAAATCAGAGTCGAGCGACGTGAGAAAACTATCAACAAACACCACTACAAGAAATTTCTATTATTATGACAAATTTAATTTTATCAAAATTAATTTTGTCACTATTAGTAACTTTTTAGTGACAAAATAAATAATCGTTACATTAAATTAAAATATATATACAATTATGAAAAAAAGTTAAAATCGTCATAATAATTTGTCACAGTTAGCAAACATGTGTAACATATGGTGACAAAATAAATTTTATTACGATTTTTTGTTACAAATGTTTCCCTTCATTTTTTTGGCGCCAAATTAAAGGCATATGGTAACAAATTTTGTAACTAAAAATTTTAGTAACTATGATAGAAAAAATTGCCACAACAAATAATGAGATTTAGATTTGTTGTGACAAATTTTGTTTGTAATTATATATTTTAATATAGTGAAAAAACGTATAGTCACAAATGATTATCTCCAATTTTTTTGTACAAAAACAAAATCATATAGTGCAATGTTTTGTAACTATAAGCTATAATTATTGTTACAAAAAAATTGTCACAACAAATAATAAGATTCAAGTTTTTAGTAAAAAACAGTATTTGTCGTTATATGTTTTAATTATAGAGACAAAATATATTGTCATAAAGATTTTTCTCCATATTTTTTTGCGTTTAATGATAAATTTTGTAACTATAAGTGTTAATAATTATTACAAAAAACATTGTCACAAAAAATAATGATATTCGCGTTTTTGTGACAAATTATATTTAAAATTATAAATTTTAACTATAATGATAGCATATATTGTCATAACTATTTTTCTCAACTTTTTTGTTTCAAAAATTATATTAACAATTTTTATAATTATAATTTATTGTTATTGTTATAGAAAAAATTATCACATCAAATAATAAAATTCAAGTTTTTGTAACAAATTATTTTTGTATTTATATATTATATTCATTATGAAAAATTATACTATCATGATCATTTCTCCCTATTTTTTAGTATAAAAAATGTTATATAGTAACAAAATATATTGTCATAAAGATTTTTCTCTATATTTTTTTTCCAAAAAAATCATATAGTAACAATTTTCGTAACTATAAGTGTTTATAATTATTACAAAAAAACATTGACACAAAAAATAATGGTATTTAGATTTTTGTGGTAAATTATACGTGTAGTTATAAATTTTAATTATACTGATAACATATATTGTGATAAATATTTTTATCCATTTTTTTTGTTTCAAAAATTATATTGATAAGTTTTGTAGTTATAATTTATATTTATTTTTATAGAAAAAAATTATCACATTAGATAATAAAATTCAAATTTTTTTGTAATCAATTATTTTTGTAGTTATATATTTTAATCATTATAAAAAATTATACTATCAACAAAAATAAATAACTATAATATAGATAAAATATAATAAACAAAAAACAACATGAATAATTAACTATAATATAGATAAAAAAATAGCACCAAATTATATTAAAAATAAATAACAGAAACATGAATGACCAAAATATAATCAACAAAAAACAACATGCAAAATTAAAATAACTATAATATAGATAAATGGCCAGAATATAAAACAATAAAATTGATATGCTCAACTTTGAGGTTTAGAATGTAATTGAAGCATTTTAGAATTTGAGATTTAAAATGTAATTGATGATTGTGTTGCTTAAATAATCTAGTTTATCATCCAACTAGATCAACTGACTGATATTCATTCCATTTGATTTACAATTTAAAAAAATCATACAATGAAGTTCAATTTATCATTTATTAAAATCTAAGCCAAATCAAATACATTTAGGAAGAGTCTAGATAGTATAGACATTATATGAAAAATTAAGATAATTTTTTAAAAAATTAAAACTTTTAGGAAATTATTGAGAACATAGATACAATTCAAAACAATATTTGTATTACCATATATATATATATATATACATACATTTTGAGACGCGTAGTAACTCTTTAAAAGAAACGTACCAAAATCTCCTTTTTCTTTACTCTCACAGACCTCGAGAAACCTTAGCAAACGTGAAAACACCATCTTGCGACGACTCTGAACTCGATGCGGAGATGTTACTGGCCTCCACCTCCGCCACCTTCTCAACAACAACAATCACGACCTTTGCACAAGCAGCGTTCGTGGTCTCCCGAAGTGGAGCGAGACGAGACATGGCTGAGGCGGAAGGAAAGCTACGGCGATGGCCCCCGTCGGTCTCAGAGTTTCTCGAACGACGATTTGGAGGAGCTCAAAGGTTGTATCGAGTTAGGTTTCGGTTTCGAAACGAACTCGCCTGAACTGTATCTGAAGCTCTCCGATACTTTACCCACTTTGCCATTTTACTGCGCCGTTAATCGTCAATACAGTTGTCGACTGCTGAGGACTTCGTCCGCATCTTCGATAGGCTCTTACAATGACGCCGGCGACAACATAATCGATAAAGGCAAGTTTTATTATCAAACTAATTTTCCTCATTAAATTTAATTAATTACACTTTAATTGTTTTATTCGATTCCCCCTTTTTTGAAATAGGCGATGATCCTGAGACGGTTAAGACTAGGATGCGACAATGGGCGCAAATGGTGGCTTGTTCGGTGCAGCAATTTTCCGGGAATCCAAACTGAAAAAATTGTGACTAGTAATATTATTTCACAATAACAAATTGTAAAAAAATGATTTAATCACAATAACACATTAAATTTAATCAAATTAAAAAGTTATGTCAAATTTATTTCGTCATAATATTTTTTCAAAATAAAAAAATTGGGACAAATTTATTTAATCAAAATAATAATTTATAACAAATATTAATTTCTTATTATAAAAATTTATGACAAATAATATTATTTTACAATAATAAATTGTAACAAATTATTTAGTCTCAGTAAAAAGTTATAAAAAAATATTTAGTGACAAAATAAAAGTAGTGAGAAAATAAATTTTATTGTAATATATATTTTTCATGAAAACTTTTTTTTTTGATGTTATAATTTAAGTTAATTGTGACGAAATTTATTTTTTGTGATTAAATAATTATTTTTATTTTAACAAATATTTTGTCTCTGTAATTTACATTTAGTAACGAAATAGCAATTGTGACAAAATAATTTTTGTTGCCTTATATATTTTCGTCACAAAAATCATTTATATTTGATGTTTAAATGTAAGTTAGTTTTGACAAAATATACTTCTCGTGACGAAATCGTTAATTGATTGTGACAAATATTTTATTGTGATAAGTTAATTATAGTAACCAAATTTCATTGTTACAATAAATACTATACAATAGTAACAAACACAATTTTGTCACAATATACTTTACATGACAAAGTTATTCTAACAAACATGGTAACAAATAAAATTAGTCAGAATAAATATATCGTGACAAATTTAATACTTTTAGTGATAAATATTTTTGTTGAAACAATCGAAATTTATTGTAGTGCACAAACCGCGTATCTAAATCTAATCCGAGGGTCAAAAGCAGGGAAATATCATCATTATAACAAATAAACATTATCGTAATCAGTCGTAATGATGTTAAATTTAACCCTAAGAAAAAGATAAACGAAAATATATCAAAAGACATAAAGAAATGTATCATTAAAATAAAAAAAAATAACGTATCATAAAAGTAGAGTTAATAAAAAAAAGCAACTATAAACGGATTAGATTTTTTTAACAATCATAATTTTTAGTAGAGTTCCATTAGTTTTCTATGCTTGAAAAAGGATCTTTAAACAACTATAAACGGTTATAAAATCATTGTATACAAACTTAAGAACACTCCAAGATTATTATCGAAAGAAAAAAATTTAATATTTCTTTTATACATAGTGAATAAAATTTTGTTATATATATATATAGGGGCAAGATCCAATTATGCTATGTAAATTTTTTTTTAATTTTACACCTTTTTAGGATCATCGAATGAGAGAAATTGAATGTTTAGATTAACAGTAGAAAATGAGAATATGTTTATTGGAAAAAAAATACTAAAGAGTTAATCGCATCCTTTAATTTCCCTCAATCCAACCATCTAAAAAGGTGTAAAACTAAAGGAGTTTTACACAGTGTAAATGGATCATAACCATATATATTTTTATTAATTTAAATTTATAAACATAAATTAAAATTATATTTTGTAAAATAGATGATTGTGGTTATTCTTAGAAAAATTATAAGGGTTCTTTTTAAGAAATCATTAATAGTGGAACCTAGGATAGTGAGTATATATTTTACTAATAAATTTTATTTTCAGTTAAGCTTTCATCAAAATATTCTAATAGTTCATTCGAGCATTTACTTAAATTAAAGTTAGATTGCACAAACCAAGACAATCTTAGTGATTAAGATATTTATTGTTATCTCTAAAGATTATGAATTTAAACATCGCGTATATAAAAGTATAAGCATTTATTAGGGGTACTTACTTCTCGGTTTTAATCAAATTAACCAACTGAACTGAATTAGTTTGATTAATTCTAGCCACTGAATTAGTTTAGTCGGATAACAATTATTTTTTAATATTCAATTAACGGTTAGTTCAGTTTCAAATTGATTAATGAACTTAATTAATCGAAAATATTAAATATATTATATATAATAAATACATATTTTAAGCTCAAACTCATTAAAAATTAGGGTAAAGGACGTAAATGTCCCATGATTTTAAGGTATTACTTTATTAAGTCACTCGACTATTAACAATTACAAAATGATCTTTCGACTATGGAGTGTTGTTTTGTTGCACCCCTTGATTATTAAAGTTATAAAATGACCACCCCAACTATTCATTATGTTTCAAACTCGTCATTTTTCGTTAAATATTTGGTGATTTTTTAAGCTAGATGTTAATTGATGATTGTGATATGATAGTCGTTTGAGATTTTGGGATCAAATTTTATTATACCACAGTCAACAAGTTAACATTCAGCTTAGAATATCGTCCATTCTTTTAACAAAAAAGGACGAGTTTGGAACATAATGAATAGTTAGATGATCATTTTGTAACTTTTCATAGTCAAGTGACTAAATAAAGCAATACTCTATAGTCGAATGACTATTTTGTAACATTTAATAGCCGAATGACTTAATAAATTAGTATCTTATATTTGGGAGACCATTTACGTTCTTTACCCCAAAAATTAAGATCCAATCACACTAGACTCATTAAATTATCAATACCTAATTAAATTTTAACTCAAATAAAAAATATCTCTATTAAACTCAAATTGATTTAATAAAAAAATTATAAAAAATTCAATTAATTTGGTCACTGAAAGAATTAATTGAATTTTTTCTTGTTTGATTAATATTTTTAAAAAAAATTACCAATTAATAAAAAATTCGATTTGGATGAATGTTAAAATAACCGTTTGAACACCCCTAATATTCAATCTTAAATAGTCGAGAGTTTTTAAACATATACTACCTTATATAGGTTGTAGTCACCCATTTATAATATAATATATATGTATATATATATATAAAGTTACGTAATCATAAGTTCCTCTGCAATATAATGGCGCTATCAAATTTTGAAAATTACATGCAAGATCCCATATAAAGAATGTTGGATCCTACAAAAACAAATTTCACAATACAGTCCCTCAAATCTTCAATAATGTCTTCTTAGACATAAATCTATACAATTCCAGTCAACAAAAGAATCAAAGCCCTTTAAACCTATGCTATCCCACTATTATGCAAACTATAGGAATTTTAGCTATAATTTTCTTTCATTCAAATCTTAGAAAACTGATTTATAGTTGAGTTTTATGAGGACATGGTTTCTGGTTCACCTTGGTCCAGAGAGTTCCATGGCTTGAACAAGTAAAGAGTCATCCATGAGATCGGAATATCTGTCCGATGATGAGAATTCGTTAGGAGGCTTGCATTTGGTTGATCCACTTCTTTGTGAAGCTTCCCACCTTTCGGCTAGACCATCACCTTCAAGCATTCGAACCACTTCGGACATTTTTGGCCTATGAACTGGAAGGTATTGTGTGCATAATAATGCTACTTGAATCATCTCCTCGAGCTCGATCCGGTCGTAGTTGTTCTTGAGATCCTTGTCAACAAGCACTTCAAGCTTCTTTTCCTGATAAATTTTCCTTACCTGCATCGGATATGAGTATAGATATGACATAATATAGTCATTTATTTGGAGGAATCTAAAGAGAAATTATACTCACCCAATCAAGCATTGCTCCTTTCTGGTTAGCATTCTTGCCAAATTCCAATGCTCTTTGATCCGTGATTAACTCAAGTAGGAGAATTCCGAATCCGAACACATCTGTTTTGTCCGAAGACTGGCCAGTGGAGAGGTATTCTGGAGCAATATGTCCCACAGTGCCTCTCACAGCAGTTGTAACATGTGAATCCTGGTGATCCAAAAGCTTTGCTAACCCGAAATCTCCGACCACTGCCTCACAATAATCATCGAGCAATATATTCGCAGCTTTGACATCCCGATGATTTATCTATTTGCAGCTTTGACATCCCGATGAATTATCTTTGGATCGCATTGCTCGTGAAGGTATAGCAATCCCCTGGCAGCCCCAAGAGCAATTTGCTTCCTGGTGCCCCAATCCAATGTCGGTTTTCCTGTCACAAACAACACTTCTTATATTGCCTTTGAGGCGAGATTCATAAACAAGAAGTTGTGGGTTATACAAAACCTGGGAACTCTTCTTTTATTACCATTGAGGATAGATGCAGCACTATCGTTCGACATGCATGGATAAACAAGAAGTTTCTCTGTGGAAGTTAAGCAAAATCCGTAAAGCCGAAGGAGGTTCCGGTGCACTGCAAAGTTGATCATCTCAACTTCAGTCTGGAATTGAATCTTTCCACCTACAGCATTACCGTCTTTCAGCCTCTTAACAGCTATTATTGTTCCATCTTGCAGAACTCCCTTGTACACATTCCCGAACCCACCTTTTCCTAGTATATTCTTGCTGCTGAAGTTATGTGTTGCAATTTGAAGTTCCCTGAATGGGAACCTCCTCAAGTTTCCTAGGGAAACTTCTTCGTAATGCCAATCTGAAACACGAAACTAAAAGACATCAATCACGAGTATTTTTTTTAAAGGCATCACAAATATTATTTAGCCATTAATGAAGACTTTGTATAACAATTTCAAACCTTTAACATCAAAGAAAATCTGTTCATTCCGCCTTCGTCTCCACCATAGTAGTATTCCAAGTATAAGAAACATCAAAGACAAGCATCCAATGCTTGAACCAAAGGCAATGGCTATTTTATGACTTTGGGATCTGCCAGAAGGCTGAGCAGCTTGAGAACAGAAAGAGGATCGAAGTCAGCTAAATCATAAGAGTATGCATGCACAAATCGAAATTTCGGCTTCGCAAGTAGAAAATCCAAAACCTTGTCTGCCGTTCAAGTTCATGGACATTGGCATCAATGTCATCCCATGGCATTCTGGTTCAGCAACAGTAGGACAGATTAAAGGATTCCCCACTGTGCTGCAATAACATAATGAAGGAGAAAAGTTAGTCAACATAATGTTCGGGACTTCGGCTATGTTGCGTAAATTCTTCAAGTTTCTTGAAAATACTTGTGTCGGACATACGGGTACGAGGTCATGATCTCAAGGAACTCCAAATACATGGAAAAACTTATTATCATTATTGTACCAGTGTCACACATATTCGTATCCAACATTCGCATCCGCACAGAGTCCAAGTAACATAGGATTTGAGAGTTAAGAGAAGATTAAATGGATGTGTCAAAACCATTTTTTTTTTTGAAAAAAAATAATTAAGTTTAAAAATAATTATGACTTTATTTGAAATTTTGACGATTTTGAATTAATTTGAATTAAATTGAATGAGAGTCGCCGTCGACCTTTGAGCTAGGTAGGTCGAATACCTAAAAACGTCTTTTAATTATTTTTTTAAGAAAAATCATTTTTTAAGACAAAAAATTGGTCTGCCTTTACAAAAAAATCCGATTGAAAGGGTATGAGAGTCGATTACGGGTGGGGAATGATATGCACATTCACAACTCCCAAAAATTGGTACTTAATCGCGTACACGTTGCCGTAAGGGTGGAAATCATAAATCGAACATAAAATTAAAATATGGTCCATTTATTGAACATTGATTAATTTATTTCGAATTATTTATAAAAGAAAATTCTTTAAATTGACAATAAATCTCAAAATTACCAATCATCGGGAAAACTATATCGTCTATTTCTTTGTCTAAAAAAACACGAGTGAAAATACAAAGCAACAAGGACCAAAGTGGATATTAACCCATTCGCTAAAACACGCTGAACCCCCTTATACGACGTCGTTCTATGCTCAATATAAATAGCTGAAACTAAGGCCAAACATCGGTCAAACTCGCCATTTCATCCATTTCCCTTTTTTTTTAGCCCAAGGGAGAGAGTGAAATCTCTCAACCCTTTCCTTCCCCTCTCTTTGTATCCCCGCCGCCGAGGTAAATAAGACCCACAAGCCCCTCCAGCCACCGTAACTCGATGGCTCCGGAGAGGGAAATAAACCTTAAAAAAACTTACCTCGAACCCTTAAACCTCAAATAACTCCTCAGTAACCCTTTCACACCACAAACCCTAAAGAAAAAAAAGGAATTACCTTCATTGAGATACTCCTTTCCACTCCGACGATCGTGGGTTGGCGTCAAACGAGGGACGAACGGGTTCCAAATGACACCCCTCTTCAAGATTTGAAGGTTTCGGTTTGATGGAGGTCACTACTCCGTCCAAGAACAAGGGTAATCTCTCTCCCTTCGATTTTCTCTTTTTATTTTCTGTTTTGTTTGAATATCATGGTTGTTTGGTTTTTTTCTTTTTTTTTGTTTGTTTTGGTTTGAATCTAATTTCTTTTTTTTTGTATGTTTTTTTGTCTTGATTTATGGTTGCTTCTCAGTAGGAATCATTAGCCCTTGCAATGGGGAATGATTTCCCTAGTAAATATCCCGGATTTAGGTGATTTTTTATTGGGTTTTGGATTTTGATAGATTTTGACTGATTTTCTTCACTGTGTGGCCGATTTTGATAACAACGACGGCTCACGTGGTGGGAGGATGAGCAGTGAGGTCCACGCGCTAGTTGGGTAGTCTTTATTGGCGGCGGCGGCTACTGATGTTAGGGTAAAAAACCCTAATCTGTTTGAGTTTGTCAAATGGGTCGATTCGGGTCGGTGGATCAGACATGTGGGTCTACTAAGTGGCCTTCGGGGTTCTCTTGGTGTCTTTGTAATATTTGGGTTGGTTTGTAATTGGGCTTCAACATTATAAAACTAAGATAAATAACTTGAAATGAAATAATAAATACGATTCAACATGCATATATTTAGTTGAGCTTGTATATCATATTTGCATTTATTTATTTAAATATTTAATAGTTTAAGTTGTATCTGTATTCACAAAATTATGAAGACAGGTAAACCAAAAAAGCAAGCAGAGTGATGGAGCATTGATTCAAGAAAAAATGAGTACCAAATAATTAGTGTGCAAATTTCAACCGCAGCATTTATGAATAGAGGGAAGCAAGCAATCACATTTTTGCTAGGATCGAAACAATTCCAAGTACAAAACAACATGATTCTTTTGACTTGAACACAGTTTTTGCTTCAGACAAGACCCCTAAACTTAGACCCATTTGTCTCCATAATTCATTCCCCTACTTATTTATTGGCTGGTACCCTCCTCCACGTATGCCGTATCCAATTGTTTCATTTTTAATATGTACACATATGAACTCATCGAATGATCTTAGTGGTTAAAGAATATTTTTTAGAGGTATTGGATTCGAGTAATTGTGTCTGCTTGACATGTACGATTAAGAAAGATTATGAATATATATTATCTTGTAATTACTTCAAACTATTAAAAAGTCATTTACCTCAATATTGATGTGGTATTACCTTAGAGTAACACATTAACATCATTGCTAATTTTTTTAACAACGAGCGACTAAAATAGAATCAAAATATAATGTTAGGTATAACTGAAAAAAATAATTAATTGAACATAATAGAAACTAAATAATAGATTGGTGACCAAATAGGTAGTTTATCCACACACACAAAAAACTATTTGTCATGAACAAGGTGTTGTAATACGTAGACTAACAACTTATTAAAATGTGAACTCTTAATATTCTAACAAAATGTAATGAACAAATAAAATATTTAAAAAAATCTAATCCCAAAAGTACTAAAAGAAAAGGTAAATGGGCCAGAGGTAAAATTATTTTGTGATAGGTCAAATGTGTTGAATCTTTAAAGAGATCGTTACGTGATTAGAACCATGCGCCGTATGTGAAGCACACGCCCCAGTTTCCATACCTGTATAAGTGTTTAGTACGATCCGAAAAAGCAACAATAAAAAGACCTATCCGATTAAATTCGAAAAGTGCATACCATGAACCATCAGCATCAGGCATTTGTACATGTTCGAGGTAGCGTACAGCATTCGTAATGAAATTATCCATTTCTTTCTTCTTGTGCCCAGGGTACAACTTCTTAAACGGAACTAAGGCATGGACTGAAGATGCCGTGCACTCAATGTATTCATGCTCAATGACTATATCGGCGAAAATTCAGTAGGATTAAGCATCTAAAGAAGAACAAAAACAAGGAAACATCATTAACATATGAAGACTAATAGTAAACCGGAGTACACATCAATGGCTAAAGCACTTACTTCCAACCATTCTTGAGCTCCAGCAGGCTCCCAGACAGCTACTCCCCCGTTTTTTCTCTATACATAACAAGTGAAGCATTCGAAGCTTATCGAAACAAACAACTTAAACCAAGTGAAAAGCATCCTTTAGTGTGAGCAAAATTCTCACCTGCAGAGAAAGTATAGCATTGACTGCATCATATAACTGTTGAGGTTCCATTTTCTCACCAACAATTTCTTCTGGGAACATGGACATCAACAGGCAACACTGCAAAATACAGGAATATTTGTTACAACAACATGAATTTATAGGATAAATGCATCGCTCGTATATGTATTTTTATATTGCATTTGATCGAGACTAAAAAAACCAGTTACCTTTAAGCCTTCTGCGGTGCTATCAGGAACTTGCCATCCATGATCTTCATTCCATCTTCAGCCACCCAAAGGTAATCCGGGATTCGAGCAAGGTGTTTCTTAAAATAATCACTATTTGGCTCTTCAGCCCAACAGGCAAGCATGCATAACACCTATTCCATTCAATGGCACAAGATGGTTAGCAGTCAAATAGGCATACATATATGTGGATAGTAGATATCCTCCTGTAAAAACAAATTCTCTATCGATGTTTTATGAACTAACTGTAGTGCAGTTCAATATCTTTGCAGTTTGTAATTTGTACACAACAAAGATAAAATCACAGGTGCTCATGAATGGCGTATCTTCTTCCAATTAATTTCATTGTAAGGCTTAAGGTAAAGTTCTTCCCTCAATTGCTCAATGAGAGGTGTGATCGGTCCGACAAACATTTTACCATATAGATATGACATCGGCATGTACACCATACGACAGTAGCACCACATTTTAGCTGCACATTTAAAACAAAAGTTTCGGAGTAACGCCCTTTCATCGATACATACATGAACGAACTGATACTAGTGCAACGAAATCGATTCATGCAAACCTGGATGCATAGGAAGGGAAGAAGGGAGGAGCCAGAACTCCGGTGGCATGGGGTTAGCTCCAGACTAGACAAAAACACCAAGTATCTACTAAAAAAAGAGCATATATTATGATTTCTTGGTAAATTTTAAAGGTCAATTTGTGAAACATGTACATACTGAAAGCCTGCAATTTTTTAGTAGATAATATCATAGATTAGCATTTGCATTCGGTTAAGAGCAAGGATTTAAATGGTGGTCTGCTACTGGAATAGCGACCGTTATATAGCGATAAAGATGTCATCTGAAACGGTTATTGTACAACCGCGATACCTACAATGACCGCAACAGTACCCGTTATTCCGCAATCGCAATAAAAATAACGCAACCAAAAATTCAACTACAACCACAATTTAAATCCCTACTAATTGACAAGCTGCAGCTAAGGAATTCTACCAAGGGTGGAAGGAAAAACAATGGACCGGCGCAGCGGGCAAATGACCATCACTGGGTTGTAAAGCTGAAAAGAAATGGACAGGGTCTTTTCGGCTCAATAGGACAAACTGTTTTATTATTTAGTCCATAACACATAAAATTTTATTTTGAGATCTATGATATTTACTACCGTGTTCAAATTCGTCACCAAGAAAATATATTCTTTTATTAAATTTTATCACATCAGATTAAAAAGTTTGAATGAAAAATATTTTTAGGACTCGTCATTTTGATGTGACGAATTTCAAGTCACTGTAACAAATACCGTAGATCTCTAAATAAACTTCTATATGTTTTATTGGGCTAATTAATTCAATTGTTTGCCCTATTGGGCCCATAAAACCAATGGATAGTCCTCCTCAGTGTTGTTTCGGCCTTTTCGTCTGAGATTTTTTCACCATCTTCAATTTTCA